AATCTTCGTTCTTGTGGGCTAGGGAGAACAAAAGGAGGAGGAGGAGGAAGTGAAATCAAGGTAGTCCACATTGATCCTTCATTTTGGAACAAGCTTTCACTTTCAACAGGAACACCTTTTCCTTGGGATTCGGGAATACCACGGTTAAAATTAGACATCTACAAAACGGGAGAAATTTCAAGTTAGTTGATTGAATCCTTAATGAAACAGCCAAATGAGACATTAAGGCTAGGATCCAACAACATTATTTACACATTAGAGGAGGGATGCCGTAATCCAACATGCAAATAATTTGGAGGTAAGTGAATGATGATTCACTAATTCTTCACCATGAAAAACATAAAGGCTTAAGTTTTTAAATGTATTTGAGAATTCCTATATTTCCTTTGAGATTCATTGAACTTTTCAATGGCATGTTTAAATCTCGATATTCCCTTCTCGTTTGTGACTAGGATGCCGAGGATCACAAAGTGGGTGTGAATAACCATGCAAATGTACATGGTTGGGCGTTCTTTTTATGCACGCTCATGGTTTAACGAACTCTATGACTTTCGTTTAGATTGCTAAGGCTAAATATCACTCTAACATAAATTCACTTTTTACGTCAGTTAGCGTCATGCCGGTTCTGTCGCGAAACTTCGACAGGTCATAACTTCTTCGTTATAACTCGGATTTCGGCATTCTTTATATGCATGGAAACCTTGTAACATATGCTATAACTTAGTTAAGATTATTCATTCTAAATAATCTTTCATCAAAAATTCATTTTTTTGACGCCTATCGTCTCTAAATTGACTAGCCCGGATCTACGGGCGTGACATGTTCCATTGCCAATAGGGTTTCGGTGATCTTGAACCTTTCAAATCTTTGTTCTTGTGGGCTAGGGAGAACAATAGGAGGAGGAGGAGGAAGTGAAATCAAGGTAGTCCACATTGATCCTTCATTTTGGAACAAGCTTTCACTTTCAACAGGAACACCTTTTCCTTGGGATTCGGGAATACCACGGTTAGAATCAGACATCTACAAAACGGGAGAAATTTCAAGTTAGTTGATTGAATCCTTAATGAAACAGCCAAATGAGACATTAAGGCTAGGATCCAACAACATTATTTACACATTAGAGGAGGGATGCCGTAATCCAACATGCAAATAATTTGGAGGTAAGTGAATGACGATTCACTAATTCTTCACCATGAAAAACATACAAGCTTAAGTTTTTAAATGTATTTGAGAATTCCTAGATTTCCTTTGAGATTCATTGAACTTTTCAATGGCATGTTTAAATCTCGATATTCCCTTCTCGTTTGTGACTAGGATGCCGAGGATCACAAAGTGGGTGTGAATAACCATGCAAATGTACATGGTTGGGCGTTCTTTTTATGCACGCTCATGGTTTAACGAACTCTATGACTTTCGTTTAGATTTCTAAGGCTAAATATCACTCTAACATAAATTCACTTTTTACGTCAGTTAGCGTCATGCCGGTTCTGTCGCGAAACTTCGACAGGTCATAACTTCTTCGTTATAACTCGGATTTCGGCATTCTTTATATGCATGGAAACCTTGTAACATATGCTATAACTTAGTTAAGATTATTCATTCTAAATAATCTTTCATCAAAAATTCATTTTTTGACGCCTATCGTCTCTAAATTGACTAGCCCGGATCTACGGGCGTGATATGTTCCATTGCCAATAGGGTTTCGGTGATCTTGAACCTTTCAAATCTTTGTTCTTGTGGGCTAGGGAGAACAACAGGAGGAGGAGGAGGAAGTGAAATCAAGGTAGTCCACATTGATCCTTCATTTTGGAACAAGCTTTCACTTTCAACAGGAACACCTTTTCCTTGGGATTCGGGAATACCACGGTTAGAATCAGACATCTACAAAACGGGAGAAATTTCAAGTTAGTTGATTGAATCCTTAATGAAACACCCAAATAAGACATTAAGGCTAGGATCCAACAACATTATTTACACATTAGAGGAGGGATGCCGTAATCCAACATGCAAATAATTTGGAGGTAAGTGAATGACGATTCACTAAATCTTCACCATGAAAAACATAAAGGCTTAAGTTTTTAAATGTATTTGAGAATTCCTAGATTTCCTTTGAGATTCATTGAACTTTTCAATGGCATTTTTAAATCTCGATATTCCCTTCTCGTTTGTGACTGGGATGCCGAGGATCACAAAGTGGGTGTGAATAACCATGCAAATGTACATGGTGCCATCATTGTTACAGTCACCCATTCGATGTACCGGTAAAACATACACGCTCCATCGAACTATGACAAACAAAGAGTCACCCTTTGCCACCTTTTATTAGAACCAATTAGTGTGCCAGTTAACCACACACGCTCCACTAACTTCTTAGCAAGGGTGCAAAGTGCAATTTCATGGGATTGCATCAATTTCACTTTTGCCTAAAGTAACTAGGATTGGGAATTTGTAAAAGTGTTTAGTTACTTTACATAGATTCATTATACTTATGAATGAAGAGAGGATTGCCCTATTTTACCCGTTCGGCCAACGACCCTCCACCAATCAAGGAAGCGGTGGGTAAGAGTGGATACCCATTAAACAGCCATTTTATAGGCCATAACCTTATATCCACCTTATAGATTGGCTTCATGAATGAGGCCTACTAATGGTAAGACTAGCATTTTAGTTACACACACACACACAGATATATATATATATATATATATATATATATATATATATATATATATATATATATATATTAATCTTGTAATAATATAATAGTATACGGTGTGTTTTAACCTTTCAAAATACTAGGTGGTTTATAAATTACACTTTTAAACATAAACCATATCATTATGGATTTATTAACTCTCTTCTAATTATACACTTAATTAATTTAATAAAACCATAAGGGTGTAATTTGAACTTTTCAAAATTAGGGTTTTAGAATTTAAACTTTCAAAATTAAATTTTAATCAAACAATTTAAATTCCAAAACTTGATGGCGGATTTTTGAACCTTTTCAAAACAATTAGGTTTTAATCTCACTTTAAAATTTTCGAAATTTAAGACTATTTAGATTAAAATTTTAAATATTAAAACTCTTGATTTAATAATTATCTTTAATTAAACTATTAATTTAAATTATTAAATCATAAGGGATTATAAAAACATAAAGGATAATTACCAATTAAACAATTAATTTATCCTAATCCTTTTAATCCCTCTAAATTTCGAAAATCATGGGATAGGATATTTCAAAATCCACTACTAGAAAAACAGCCTTTTACGACGCTCATTGCGCGTCGTAAAGGGCTCAGACGACGCGCAAATGCGCGTCAAGGAAGGCCATGTCATAAAGAGAGACGACGCGCTTTTGCGCGTCGTCTATAGACGACGCGCATTTACGACGCTCATTTACGACGCGCAATTACGACGTACATTTACGACATGCAATGCGTATCAAGAAAGGCCATCTCATAATGGAAGACGACACGCATTTGTGTATCGTAACCTTACGACGCGCGTGTTAATGACACGCAATGCGTATCAAGAAAGCCCCTGTCAAGAAAGGCCATGTCATAAATGCAAATGACACACATTTTTGCGTATCATAATTTTAACTGTTTAAAAAAAAAATTATTTGTAGATTTACTAATTTTCAAATTAAATTTCCATTTCATGTATCATAATAAAAAATAAAATACCATATACAAAAAATATAATATATTGCACAAAAGTTAATGTCACAAATAATCATTCCAATAGTAGACAAATGGATATCAAAGGGATCAAAAATATGTTTGTCTTCTAATAGAGCTTATACACAAGAAAGTACTGAATTTGCTATTGAATTTATACACAAGAAGAAGGTGTTTGACTTCAAAAAAATGTCCCAGCAACTTAATTGGCCCCGGAAGCTTGTGGTTTGACTGCAACTGAGATAAGGATACCTTGTTTACTCTTCTTAAGCTTACTAAACAAACATGACAATAAGATAATATAAAACTGAATTATTATTAAGATTAAGCCACAAATGCACTCAAGCTATACAATAAGATAATTGGGTAGATTTTTGAAAGTACAATGTTCTAATAAGAAAAAATGAAATTAGGATGTTATAAACTTGTAATAAATAAATAAATCAATGAAAGTGCATTGTTACTTTATGAATCTAACCCTAAAAAAAGCTATAGAACTGAGGAGGTGAAGATTACCACAACTTTATTTTGCAGCATGAATGTCCCCGTTATGATGGATACCTGTTGATGACAAGAAACCAAATTATCAAGATAAAAATAATTATAACATTTCTTGCATGTTGCATTAATATGTGCAAATATTATCTTATATTAAGTAATAAACTAATAGTAGCATGCAATTAATGAAGTAGACAGATCTAGTCCCTGAAAAACGTTACATATAAAACATTCTTTATAATGGATGCACAATTTAAAGTCAACGAGAGAGCAAATCCAGTCAACATGGCTATGAATGGATAACTCGTGAGTAGTGGTATAGACACAACCTACACAAAACATATTCAAGACCTCACTTAACAACCAAACATCCCATTTTTCAAGATTCATATATATAAAAAAAATAAATAAATAAATAAAAAAATTCTCTCATGCAAAATCAATAATTACATCAAAAATGAATAATTAAATTAAACAAATGGTAAAAGAAAAACTAAATTAAAGAAAAATTGCTTACTCCTGCAATACGAGCTATTACTATAGGGCCAAATATCCTTTCCAGAAATGGATACAATGTGAACTGGAAGTGTAAATCATATTCATACCTGTTTATAACCAGGGAGCACCTATGAAACATCATTATGTAGCTCCTCGCTTCTAATTTCCTACAAGTGTAAATCAAAATAATAAGCTAAATTGTAAATATGCATCAAGCCAAGGGAAAAAGGTGGAATTTTTAATACCTGACTTAGGAGAGATAAGTGGGTTGTGATCAACACCTTGGGCTCACAAAATACTAAGCGCACTGTGGAGTTGATGGGTAACTTTTCTAACTCAAGCCCAAGTTTTACTGAATCAACTCTGACTTTGGTCAAACAGGGATTAGACCTACCTTATATTCACATAAGTTTAATCCAACCAACGACACAATTGGCGCTAATTCCTCTTCGCACCTCTGTTTCTCTTCTGCCGATCGAACGTCAATTGGCCACCTCTTACTCAACCACGATACCCAGCTCCTCAAGGTTGGAGGCGTTGGCTTATCCTAATATCGTCTTCAAAACCCTAGGGTTCAATTTTGGATCCTCTGTCATCCAAAATGAGTTATTGAGCATTCTTGTTGATTCACCTGGGCACATTGGCTCTTCTACTGATATTAATGTTGTCTTATGTATCGGATATGGTGTATTAGCTACTGTTGATTTCAATAAAGATGATAGTGTCATGGAAAAAAAATTCTGTCTCCAAAACTGTGGAGAAATATTTCATCTTTTTGTGGCTGTTAACAAAAGTGACAAGTATTTCTCTAAATATCTGGTGCATGGAGCATACTTCACATTTCAAAAGGTTACTGAAGATTCTAATGTCACCTTATCCAAACATCAGGACCCCCTGGGTGATATTATGGTTCCCCGAGAAAGAGTGCAGGGGAATTGGTGTATGCTTGCTGGAATCAAAATACAGGAAAAAGGTCTTGAACAGGTTACAATTACAGCTGGTTATGATGATCTTGGTGGAAGTAATGTCATTACTGGTAAGAACAAGAAGAGTATGGAGAGCTCTTGGATCCTGGAGAATTTGAAGAAGAAAGGGATTGATGAAGAGATAGATAAAGAAATACTTGTTATTGCTAAAAAGGGAAAAGATGTTAGCAAAGATTTGATGTTAAAGTTGTTGCCAAATAAGTTTCTTAGGGCAAATGGAAGTGGAAGTGAAGTTACTTATGGTGAGCTTTATCGGCTGGAAGAGTTCCTGTTGTGCCCCCTTATTGTTTTAGATGATTCAGGTGATGGTTTTACTAAAGGACTTGAAGCTGAATTAGCAAGTTTACATAGCAAGGGCTTTAATGCATCAGTTACTTCTGGTGGATATGGCTGGTACATCACCTTAGATCCTAATGAGAATGGTTGGGAAGTTGTGAAAAAAGGTGGGAATGCACAAGTCATTGGTGAAGTCCCACATAAATTCAAGAATGTTTTTGAGGTGGTGAGGATACCAAGCGAGGGTCCCAGTTTTCATTACCAATACTTCTCCTCAGGTGTGATGAGTAATAAGAATGGGAAGGTTGATAAAGTTATCAAGATGATCTTAGAGGAATTGGAGCCAGTGATTGTAGGGCAAGCCACCAAACAAGGGTTCGAACTTGAAGAGATGGAAGGAGAACAACAGCAACAGGAGTCACTTAAGAAGAAGTCAGAGGAGATTTTGGTCTATTCTCTTAAGTTATTGATGTTACACGTGAAGTTTGAGTTGTTTCGGGTTTACCTTTCATTTTGGCAACCGCGCTTGAAAAGGAATGCAAGGACGACCCATTCTTTCCTTCACCTTGAGGACAAGGTGAAAGTTTGGGCCGTTGGTATTGATAAGCCCCGACATTTCTGTTATCTTTTTGGCCAGGGGTAGGATGGTTTTTTCTGGTATTATGGCTGTTTTGTTATGTCAAGAGCACTAACTTTGTCCCAGGACTGTTTTAGGGGACCACTCCCTAGAGGTTTTTGTTTAGCAGCTAAGAATTATTATGAATTGAACTTTGTTCTTTCTTGGAGATACCCACATCTCGAAAGCTGGGAATTATCTTAATATTATCACGTAATTGAATCAGGGGTTAAAATGCCCGGAGTTTATGATAGATTCAACAAGGATCTATCAGTGGCTTGGGATTAAAGGACTTAGAACAAATCTTGTAAGAGCATAAATGAAAAGTGCAGTGTTGTAAACTGTAATAGAAAGAAATAAAAGTAAAATGTTTTCACAATAAGTAAATACATAAAAGTACGTTGTTATTTCTTGTAAACTGTAATATACCTGGAAAGTGAATATGACCTGGAAAGTGAATATCATCTTCTGTCACATTCTCCAACATGATGAATAAACATATATATGTAAATACTAGTAAATGTTAACAGGAAGCATGTTCCCATCTCTATCTATTGTGTTCACTAGAGTCTCATCTCCATCCAGGCATATTTGAGCAACATCAAGTCCAGCCTTCACCAAACCACCCTATAAATAAACATATATATATATATATATATATATATATATATATATATATATATATATATGTAAATACTAGTAAATAGTCAAACAAAAGTTTACTAAAGTCAACTTTAGGCTACTTACTGGATTGTTTCAGAGATCCAAAATGTAAGATTCAACACCCTGATTTTCAAATTCACGAATGGCGTGTTTCATATCTGTAGCAGCACTCTGTTTACAAAAGCTTGTTGTTAGATGAATTTAAGATATGAAGTTATAAAGTAAGACTAAGATTTAGAGAATTAATAAGCACCTGGGAGAAGGCTAATAGCTTTACATATCCGGTTTTGGATACATGACCATTTGGTGTTCTATGAGGAATGATGACACTTAATATAGGAGAAAGTTTGATGAATTCCCGGGGTAGTTTCACCTCTCTAAAACTAGAGTCAATGGCCAACTTTTTTCCATGTAGATCAGAAATATGAACATGCACAAATTTCTATAAAACCCTTTGGAAAGGAATCAACCATTCCATTCCTTCCTACCAAACTTAAATGTAAGAAACTTACATTGTGCACTTTGACTGTAACACTTGTCCCAACATAACCTCTAAGCTTTTGTGCAGCAGCTTCACTACTAATCCCTTTAACTCTCTCTCCATTTATTTCAATCAACTCATCTCCTACATGTATTCCAGCTCTAGCAGCTGGGTTACCCTCAACACAGGACAATAAAACCTAAAACAAAAAATTTTAAATTTTTAAAAATAAAAAAAGAATAAGAATCCATAACTGAGGTCTCAGGTTCAAGTCTCAGCATCACAAACCAGATGCCCCGTTTCTGGTTCAATATTCACAAATAGTCCAACTCCTTGTACGTTTCCATCACTTCCAATTCTAAAACTTTGGTATTCCTGTACAAATCATTGCCGAAAAGAAAATAGAGTAAGTTCCCCCTTTTTGGAATCTAGGAGTAAGAATAAGTTACAAAAATGGTTCCTGTTGTTTCTGAATTTTAGTCCAAAACTGAAAACTCTTTTAGAAACCACAAGGACAATTTTTGTAAAAGTAATGGGAAAAGTTGCACCTTTGGACTGATAATGCGAGTGAAGTGATCTTCAAGAGTAGAAAGCATTCCTTTAATCTTGCTGTATGCGGCATCAGCTGTTCTAAGTGGATGCATTTCCACCATTGTTTGCTGGAATTTCGAGTTCCAGTCTACAGAAAACACATAAAATTACGTTAAACTTATTGACACTAAATGACATAAAACGACAGAAATGAATCGTACCTTGATGATTAAAAGTTGGATCAACAAAAGTCTCTCTGATCAAACCCCAAGGCTATGTAAAGTAGACCTGATTCCCCCACCCATATGGCTCCCAAGGCTATGTAATATGTGATTGTTCTGGCCACCTACTTGGTGCTTCTGGTTTAGTGGCTGAGATACCATTGTTGAGTCAATAGTCGATAGCCCAACAACATTGTTGGACATATCTGTTTTCATGTAATACTGATTAGTATTACTATTATTAAATCTAGGAGTAGGCATCATTCACCATTCATAGTCCATAACAAAGAGACCAAAACCCTAACTTATCAGTGAAAATAGACAGAAAGAATCAAAATAGTAAACATGTGGATGTGTGTGTGGTGCTGTGTGCGACTGTGAACAACTATCATAATGGGATTAAGAAGCAAAAAAGTACGGGAGATGGATGTCTCACCTGAGACATAAAAAAAAGAATACGGGAGATGGAATGGAGCGTACCTGAGATGCTTAGAGTGTAGAATTGGGGATCAAGGAAAGAGGATCGAGGAAATCACGATTAATATCTGTATCGCCTTTCCAGTTAGGGTTTTACAGAGGAGAATACAAGAAGAATCAAAATCGAAATCAGAGGCATGAATAAAGGAGAAAGAAGAGCAATTTTTACAATACAAAAGAGTGCACCTTACCAAATAATCCTTCGATTGACTGCAATTTGGAGTCAAATCGATATCGATTCAGCTAGATAATATCAATTTCGATTTCAATTTCATCTACTCCAAGTCTTTGTGGCCTATAAAACACGGTGTGTGGCTGATGATGGACAACCTGCGAGCTGCTGGTTTGTACCCAACGCTTTACCAGCAATACCTTCTCCCGATACGAGCTGCTGGGTTGAGGTCGCCTCAAAGAACCCTAAAATCTCTGGATCGAACACATACGAAGCGGATTCAATCACATAAATGGGCTCGGATCTTCCTTCACATGGGCCCCATGTTTACCTTGTCTAATTACTGGAAACCATAGTTGAACAAGAAGGTCTGTGTCCATTATGCATTTTTCATTCAATAGTCAAAGTCTTGAACCAATCGATCATCAAAGAATTCTTAATAGTCATCAAGAGGGTTCAAATCTGTTTCCTTTGGGGAAACAATTGGATCAAATCTGTTTCCTTTGGGGAAACGACTGGAAACCATATACGGATTAGGGTTTACAGAGAAAATGAGAAGGAGAGATTGAAGGTTGTCGGCTGGTGGCGTGCTTTCCTTGATCGACGTCGACGACCGGGAATGGCAAGTAACGATGGTCGAAGTGTGAGGGAAGAAGTAGGTGGCAGTCAATGTCGGCAGGGGGAAGGAAGGAGCGTCGATAATTAGGGCAAGAGGGAAAGGAACAAAAAGGAAGGCGGGGATTTTAATTTTTTAGGATTTCATTTTCCCCCTCAACTACTAAAGGATGGAAGGCGCATTTCCATTTAAATTTATAAAGCGACATCCTCAGATGACACACGTTTTATTATAGGCGTCCTCCGTGTTTTTTTTAGACACTAATTTAAGGGTACGCAAAAATGCGCGCCCTAAATCCTTAAAATTTATAGAGAGATGACATTATTTTTAGATCACACTCGTTTACGTATCGTGAATCAATGCGTATCATAAATTGCGCGTCGTAAAAGGTTGTTTTTCTAGTAGTGATCTTTAATTACCATATATAACCATTAAAGGATAATTACAAGATATGAGATAATCCAAATCCCTAAAATTTAAGATCTTATCTTGGGGAGGAGGCTAATCTCGAAAATCCTAAGGTTTGCATACCCTAGATTTCGAAATCTTAGGACTTAAAGAAAGGATTTGAAAAACCCTTACCAAGTTTTCGCAAATAAGGGTTTAGGAACCCTAATGTCGAAATTTTTCCTCATAGGGTTTATTGGCTATAAACCCTAATATGTCAAGTTCATACAATTGTATAATACTAATAGAAAACAAGTTAACCAAAGGCTCTGATACCACTGATAGGTTTTGAACAAACAATCCTATGTGTGCATGCAACCCTAGATTTGGATCTATGTTTTCACTATTAGATACACAACATTATGAACACATGAAGAACCCTGGCATGATACTAGTATTTTAGAAATTCATGTAGAAAGTTAGATCACATATCTCTTGTTGTTATATTGTAATAACAGCTCAAATCCTCAAACCCTAAGTCTTGAAAGTAAGTACCACAAGTGTAGTACCTCTAATGGCTCACAAACACCACAAGCAATTGTAGAAGCAATAGAGAGAGAAGAGGAGAGGTATAAATTGACTCTAGAAACCCCTAGGGATCAAGTCTACGATTTCTATGGCCTTAGGGGTCCTTTTATAGGGTAGAGATTAGGGTTTCAGTCCTTATCCTTATCTAGTTGCTTGCCCACCAAGTAACCAAAAGATAAGCCTTGAAAGTCCTTATCCTTGGAAGATTTCAAGGATACCTTATCCCTTGAATTTGTGCAACCTATGTCTAGGGTAACCATTACCCTACTTTGCAACTATCACATAATTACAATTCAGCCCCTCTGGTTTAATTAATTACACTTGATCACAAAATTAATTCCTAATTAATTATTAACCAATATTAATTAAACAAATATGATTTCTCCTTTAATATATTATTCTCATAATATATTAATAAATCATAATAACCTCTTTCTCTATATTTATTTCTCCAGTCAAGTTGCTTTGGTGAAGGCAACCCAAAAGGACTAAGCACAACCGGGTCAAGTACTTACCAAATATGGTTACAGGCTTAGAAACTAATCCAACAATTAGATAGGATGAAGAAATAACGTGTGGAATCATTATGCAAATTCTATTTCGTTGATGATTCCGGGACATAGTCATCCTAAGGGGGAGATAATTGTAACGCCCGTAGATCAGGGCTAGTCAATTTAGAGACATTAAGCATCAAAAACGACTTTTTGATTGAAGATTATTTTGAAGGAATAATCTTAAATAAGTTATAGTATATGTTACAAGGATTTCGTACATATAAAGAACACCAAAATCCGGGTTATAACGAAGAAGTTATGACTTGTCGAAGTTTCGCGACAAAGCCGCCACGACACAACGCGACGTAAATAGTGAATTTACGTTAGATAGATATTT